ACAAGCCTGATTTTCAAGATACACTGGTGGTACATATGCCTGTTTTCAGTGTTGACATACACAGAAACACCCGGTTCGACTAGAAGCCTGACTTGAATAGAAGCCTAGCGCTGACATCGGCTTCCACAGGGAAAAGTCCGGCTGTAGTACCCAACATTACTCGGGTATATGTATGTACCAGTGCCAGTGTTCTATGCACTGGATACCGGACCTCTTATCCACGTCATGACTCAGCCAATCCTGCCAATCAGTACTGGCTGCCACCACCGCTGCCGCCACCGCAACCATGTCATGCGAACGTGGCTAGACAAGACACTTTGACTGTGTGTCTGCTTGGACAAATGTACCTGCCCCCGGCAGTGGGTGTGAGGGTCATGTTTTGCTAGGCTGTAGGCCGACTGGGCATGTGGAATCTTGAAAGCCGGGGAACCACTTCAAATGCACCGTGGGTTACGCCCCGTTTGCTGTTTGTTTGTTGTACCACTGTCATGCAGCGGAGCCGCAGTGGAACCCGGCCCTTACTATGCCGGTTTGTGCTGGGCCAGTTGTGGTGCTTTGCCAACTTTCCATGCACAAAGGTGATCACGGATTTTGACTAGGTGATCACGGATTTTGACTTGCTACACAAGCTGGTGGGGACTGGGAGATATGGATACCGTATCTTCCGGAGTATGAGCCGCGCTTTACTCGTACTTGTAGTTCACCTAAAACACAGTTGGTATGGCCTTTACTACGATGATCAAATGAAGCATGATATACAAGATAGATGTCTGTATTGTGTGACACAAAATCTGGGTGCTGCTTTTATTCCAATGCGGCTTATAAAGTAAAAAAGTAAAGTTTACACGTCCGCGTTACCACCGGCTATACAATTGCGTTGAGAAACACAGACCAGCTTAAGAAGTTTCGCATGTGCCAGGCCACCACCATGCCTGTCATACCAGGGTGGCAGACGCAGCTCCTAACGGCGAGGGTGAGGTGGTAACTCTCACAACCAATGCCCGACAAGGGGGCGAACCTCGTTAGCTGCATCCATGTTACCCTCACTCCGAGTAGTGAGTACCCAGTTGACCGTGGGTGTCAGCGCAGTTCCCTGCATGTCAAGTGGTTCACGCATGCATCACCGCATTTGTTAGCACAGTACACGCTCCCTGCTCCCAGCGCGGGTCTCGAACTCGGGACCTTGTGATTCGCAGGCAAGCCCACAACCACTCGGCCAAAGCGCTGCTGTATGCGGCTTATACTCCGGAAAATACGGTATATGGTTACCTGGGGCAGTCACCAGTACCAGGCTGCATGATAACACAGATATAGCCACCAGAGTAGATAGAGAACTGGTTGCTGTGCTGGAGGCGATGTATAGTGCCAAGCTGAAACTTGAACCGTGTGTGCAGAAGCAGTACAGTGCTACTACTCAGTGAAATCCTGTCACAGCGTCACTCAAGTACGCGCCGGGCGCTGTGCAGCCCTAGACCTGCCAACACTGCGCTGCAGAATGATGCAAGGCGCATACTTGAGTGGCGCGACTGGATTTCATCGAGCAGCACTGTATGTGCGAAAGTCGGCACTGTTTTTTAAATTGTAGTACCTTTGTCCCCGCTGTGGTTTGATTTGTATTGAGAGAACTGATTGAGAGCACACATCGTTCTGCTGGGCACTGGCCAGGCCAGTTGTGGACGTGAGCGATGCAGTAGAGCATCGGAGATTGGCGGTAGGACTGGTGTGGTGTATGCACCACCACAGTCCCAGTAATGCGTACTGTGTGGTGTGAATGTGGGTTACATGTAGGTCGTGCCTGCCGGTTAGGACAGCCGTAGTGTAAGTTCATGTTCTGCAGTTATTTTAATTTTTTATATTTTGTATTTTGAAACTCGGATGTTGGGCCAATAATAAATGTAGAAAGGAATATAGTATCTAGTTACAGTGGTGGACAGTTACTCTTAATTCGTATCCATTATGTCCTTTTCCTTTCTACAGATATTTTGTATGCTTTGATTACACTGTATTGTAAGTCAGAACGACACCAAGTAAACTCGAATCCAGTCGTGTTGTCGTGTGCTCATGTTTTCATTGGGTAGAACATAACAATTGTGGTTTAGGGTACCCTGGCAAGTAGTAATCTGTTCTGACCAGCGTGCTGAATACAGACGCAATGCAAATCACAATACAAGACCGCCGGAACGGACAATTTATACTCTTTTGCTATCGTAAGGCCGGTGGACCTTTAAGTGATGTGTGCATGTGAGCCCGAATGCGACACTCAAAACCTCGGGTTGTCATCAGTATTTCCTGTTTGTTGATATCTGAGATATGTTCCCTGCCATGTTTGCACATCTGGAACACAAGTGGTTTTCAGAGTGAGAGATGGCATCACAAACACGGTGTGTCCTTGTGTGCCACGGGGTTTCTTGCAGAGAGCTCGGTGCTACAGTAAAACGTGCCCTAACCGTACGCCCGTGGTGCAGCGGAAACTGTCCTGATGTGACAGGATTCCGCTTAGTCCAGGGGTGCACGTTCGATCCACAGCACTTTGGTACATGACAGTCTGTACAGGATTCCGCTTGGTACAGGGTCCGGCGAACACAGGTTTAACGGTAGTAGCACGCTAGGCTAGCGATGCACTGGTTTGAAACCATGCTCTCTAACCGCTAGTAACCCCTCCTGCCTTAGCTAACTGGCAGATCTGTCAATAGGTTTGCTAGCCTCCTAGTCTAGTAGTTGTGCTCGGCCTATTTTCTGGGCCACTGGTCCACAGTGGCAATTATCATCTGAGCGCCACTGGTCCGCAGTGGCAATTGTGAACTGAGCGCAGACAAGGCTATTTTACAGATTCCTATTCTTTTTTTTAATTTTGGCCAAGGGATTGCGGCATAGTGGGTGATTTTGCTGTTGGTTGTATTCCGTACCGAGAGCAGGCCAGGACAGGAAATCATTTGTAGTTGTACATTGTGAGGGTGGGTCCGATCTACTCATGCTTGTACACTGGAGTAATGGTGGAAATCTGCTTGACCAGCACTAGCACTGGCTTATGCAGCCCATATCCTCCCCACCCCCCTTCCCTTTCTTGCTTGACCAGCACTGGCTTTTGCAGTCCATACCCTTCCCCCCTCCCCCATTTTCTGTCTTCATGGAGTGCTTGTTGCCTCTTCCCCCGTGGAGTAGGCATGTAAAATACAGTGGAACCTGTCTAAGCTGGCCGCTCGATGGACCTTACAAACGTGGTCTCCTTATCCGCAGGGTCATTTGACTGGATATACATGTGCATGTACCGTATTTTACCGGTTGTAAGTCGACCCCGGTTATAGGTCGACCCCCATATCCGGAGGTCTCAATTCTGCGTTTTAAAGTTTTCACCCAACGAAGCACTACCAAGCACGCCCTGCTACTAACACATCAACAAATCATGTAAACATTCCTTATTGGAGAGTATAACGTCCCAATCCTTGAAAAAGGCCAATAAACTCGCAAACATGTGTACACATGGTGCACTCATGCATGCAGGGCAGGTCATTTTTTGTAGGATTCTGATAGTTCCCGGTTATAAGTCGAATCTTGGTTGTAAGTCGACCCCCACCCTTTCTCCTTCTATTTTTAGTCGTAAAAGGTCGACTTACAGCCGGAAAAATGCGGTACATGTACATGTAGCATCCCTGGGCCCTAGTTGCAGTGGTCTTCTGGGACAGGTGGTCTCCTTATCCAGGGTCATTTGACTGGGAATACATGTGCATGTACATGTACATGTAGCATCCCTTGGCCCTAATTGTAGTGGTCCTCTGGGACCCTAGTTGTAGTGGTCCTCTGGGACAGGTGGTCCTCTGGGACAGGTGGTCCTCTGGGACAGGTGGTCGTCTTATCAGAGCGGTCGCCTTTACAGGTTTCACTTTAGTAAAGTAGTTCGCATATCCCCGTTACCACCCCCGTTACCACCAGCTGTACAATAGATGATGTGCTAAATAACGTGCCACTAGACTTAGGGAGAGCATCGCACACCAGTTGCATACAAATCATACTACAATGTGTACACGGTAGGCCCTGAGCTCTGCAGGAGCACAAGTCACAGATAACCGTACAACTTTGAACTGTATTATGCAACGCCCTCCCAAGTCTAGTTGCATGCTTTTGGGCATATCATCCATTGTGCTGGGAAACACAACGAGCGTCGAGTAGGCATGGTTATCAAGTGAAATAAGTGAAACGGCCGATGATGGTAATTTACCGTTCATATACTGCAGGACCCTTTGCACAGCTTCACACGTAGGAAATAGTTGTGAGCATCACTGTCTCGCACTCGATTACTGCCAACTGCATTTCATTCCGCGGAAAATATTCCTTTTTTGTTATTTCGATCGAAAGGAAATGAGTTTTGACTGTGCAATGTGTGCTCTTCTTATCACCAGTTCCCAGTGTATAAAGAACGTACCGTATTTCCGCAAATAGAAGGCCGTCCTCGTATACAACGCCTTCCTCGTATACAAGGCCGGGGCAGGGGGCGATTGAAAAAATAAAAGACCGTCTCCGATTAGAAGACCGGGCCTACTAAATGAGTCTTTGTTCTTGTGTTAAAAATAGAAGACCGTGCTCAAACTGTGGGAAAAAATAGAAGACCATGCTCAAACTGTGTAAAAATAATGGAAGAACGGGGGTAAAACTGTGTGGCGAGAAATAGAAGACCGGGGGGTCAAACTGGGTTGAAAGAATAAAAGACCTTCCTCGAATACAAGACCGTCCTCGATTATAAGGCCGGGTTCGGACGAGGTTGAAAAAATAGTAGACCGGCCTACTATTTGTGGAAATACGGTAAGCATCTCTGGGGTGGGGTTGGAATAAGGGTATGAAACCATTTGTTTTATCATTGGTTTTTCGATGTGTATGCGTGTGTGTTTCTGTCTGTCTGTTTGCTCATGCGTGCATGTGTGGGTATGACCGTGCGCATGTGCTTGTGCTGTTTGGCATGCCTCGTCTGCTTCTCTTTCTTCTTCTTCTTCTTGTGCTGCTGACAGACTGTGCTTGTGACGACGATGTGTTGCTAGCAGGCAGCTCCACAGCGGCGGAGACTGCGGCAGTGGAGCGGGCCCCGCATGCTCACAAGGCGTTGTCGGCGGCGGCGCGCACTAGCAGCAGCGGCAGCAGTAGCGCTGGTGGCCTGCTGTCCTGTTACAACGCTATGGTGCGAGTATGTCGTGGTTCGCTGAGTGCTCGACACATCGTGGTGTTCGGCTCTCTGATAGTCTGCGCTCTCGTGTTGATAACCAGCCGAAACAACCTGTCTCCTCCTCGTGATGCCAGTGCTCACCTACCCAACGCCGTTAATAGAAAGCTTGTCCAGGATGATATCGACGAGCTCGATGATTCAGTCAACGCCGTCGTCCGCAGTCCAATACTTTTTGTCGACGTGTACTCGGAGCAAATTGGCAGATCGGTCAACAACTTTGCCCGCCTGTTGACCTTGTCGAAGAAGATGGGACGTCGCCTGGTGGAGCCGTTTGTGCACGGCTCCCGCCTGAGCGGCATGGAGCGGAGAGACATCAGCACCCCACAGGCGTTCTCGCACTACTTTGACCTGCGCGCGCTCAATCGCCTGCTGCGCCGGCGTGGCATAGTGCCGCTTGCGTCCTACCAGGACATGTTCAGTGCCTGCCCGCACGGCTGGGACCTGGTGCTGCTCATACAGAATCAGGACGCGTCGCTGAGCCGGCCGGAACTGGGCTCCGTCCGCAACCGCAAGAAGGACGTGACCGAGTGTCGCAAGGCGGCGGAAAGCAGTGCCGACGGCTACGCCGAATGCCCCGTGCTGGTCAGGATGGCACGACTACTACCCGAGCAACGGCAGGCACTGAAGAACAAACGACGTGCAGCGCGGCAATCGGTCGGCAACTCCGTCGCCGCTCGCGGTATTGTTATCAGCGCCGCAAAGTTCCATAGCATATCAAAACTGACCGAGCTGATGAAGGATTCCCAGTGCGCCAGTCTACAGGAGTGGGCGGGAGAGGGTGATCGGCGCGCGGAGTTCAGTGACCTCACGCCGACCGACATGCAGAGTCAGGTCCGACCGTACGAGCTCTACCACTCCGAATTCATCAAGGGAAAGGCGCGCGAGTTTGCCGCTGAGCACCTCAGCGCAGCGTACATCTCCGTCCACCTTCGTATGGAGAAGGCCATCAAGCTCGGGCAGAAGATGCAGCAGCTCAAGGAGTGCGTTCGCTCCGTGGCCGAGGCCGTTGCTAAGCTGGTCAGCACGAGAACTGGTGGTGCAAACCGAGGCGTATTCCTGGCTACGGATCTCGGCGAGCACGGTTCAGACACGCTGCACAAGCACATTGACGCCAAAAACCGTGCGGAACTCCTTGAGTACACGCAGACCACACTCAAAGACGCAGTGATACCCACCGATTTTGGGCTGACAGATCATGGAGCGCGTGCAATGGTCGAATCCGAGATTGCAGCCGGCGGAGGCGAGTTAATAGCCGTCGGAGGTGGAAACTTCCAGGAGTGGATGTCGGTGCTGTTTCGACTGCACAGCGGTGGCAAGAGCGCTACCAAAATGTGTCTGCAGACAAAAGTACCGCCGGGCTGGGAGCTGCAGGAGCCTAGATGATGAGCACTGAACTGTCTTTCTTGACAGGTACGAATCAGCCTTGCATGTTTGTGTGTGTGTGTGTGTGTGTGTGTGTGTGTGTGTGTGTGTGTGTGTGTGTGTGTGTCCCATAATGGTGCAGTGGTATGTGCAGCGATTTCCAATCGATAGGTTGCGGGTTCGATTCCCGACGATTATGGTCACACACGTCTTTCTTCTCTTTCTCAGACTCTTCCTGACTTTTCTTTCATTCTCCTGGGTGGTTACCAACAACCAGTGCATGCCGGAGTATGTGGTGTGATGTGTCTGCGGGAAAAAAAAGACCAAAAAAGACCAAAAAATGTATAGGGATTCACTGGCCAGAAAAGTCACTTCAAATAGCTGTATGGTGTAGACCAGGCTGAATAGGGACGGTCAATTCTTCAGCCTTGCAAGCTGTTGAATGGTGCAATCCCAGCACAAGTTGCTATGGCTTCTGCCGTAGCATTGCTATCATCGCCTCGGGCGATGGGCGGGGGGTTGTACTCGGTGATTGTGTTAGCTTGGACCGATTGACCAATGCCACTGGCAAGGGTGTAGGTACCCCTACTCCCTCAAGAGTGCTGAGCTCCACAAGTCATAATTATACTACTCCCTCAAGCGTGCTGAGCTCCACAAGTCATAATTATACTACTCCCTCAAGAGTGCTGAGCTCCACAAGTCATAATTAGACTGTGCTGCTCAATGAAATCCAGTCACGTCACTTAAGTTTCGCAGCCTGTGAACACTGGGCTGAGAATTGGTGCAAGGTGCAAGCTTGAGTGACGCGACTAGATTTCATTGCGCAGCACTGTACTTGCTGTGGGTTGCGGCAACGGCAAAACTCACCATGATTGTGTGGTGCAGTGTTTACTATAGGGGAGTTGCGTTCCGACCTCTGATTAGGAGCTTCAATGTGATCCGATGTCTATGGGAATCATGAGTGTGATCTCTGCGATTGTTAGAGACGACAGCTAAGAGTTTTCTCTTCTTCCTACCTATTTCGTTCTCTCCAAAGAACTGAAAATTGACCAAGTTACGATAGTTTGAAGTTATTTGAAAAGTGTGGAATTTATCGATCACCCGTGATCAATAAAAGTATGTGCCGTCCGTAAAGGGTTAAATTGACCTCGTGGCAATGGCTACTGGGACGGGCATGTGTGGCCGTATGCATGTGTGTGTGTGTGTGTGTGTCCCATATGGTGCAGTGGTATGTGCAGCGATTTCCAATCGATAGGTTGCGGGTTCAATTCCCGACGATTATGGTCACACACGTCTTTCTTCTCTTTCTCAGACTCTTCCTGACTTTTCTTTCATTCTCCTGGGTGGTTACCAACAACCAGTGTATGCCGGAGTATGTGGTGTGGTGTGTGTGTAGAAAAAGAAAAAAAGAAAAAAAAGAAAAAAATGGAAAAATGAAAAATAGGGATTCACTGGCCAGAAAAAGTCACTTCAAACAGCTGTGTGGTGGATACCAGGCTAAAAATAGTGGCGGTCAATTCATCAGCCTTGCAAGCTGTTGAATGGTGTAATCCCAGCACAAGTTGCTATGTCTAAAAAACATAGCTGTTCGCTATCATCGCTCCCGCGATGGGCATGTCTGAGGTCTGAGGTCTGAGGTGTGTGTGTGTGTGTGCGTGTGTGCGTGCGTGCGTGCGTGCGTGCGTGTGGTGCGTGTGGTGCGTGTGGTGCGTGTGGTGCGTGTGGTGCGTGTGGTGCGTGTGGTGCGTGTATGTGCGTTTGCGTGTGCGTGTGCGTGTGTGTGTGTGTTTGTGGTGTGTGTGTGTGTGTGTGGTGTGGAGTCAAGATGACCAAATCCTGACGGTAGATCTACTACATTATGCTCACATTGCATGTTGTGCGGTCAACCCGTACTCATTGCTCCTTCGAGTGGCCGTGAGCTGCACACATGATTGGTGGGCCAATAAGGAACCAGATGGAACATTATTTCACTCAACTTCTCACACGCACGTGTGTCATTAGCTTTGGTGCTGTCTGGTGCTTAGCGGCAGGCCGAGTCCTAGTTTAATCAACCCAACTGTCATTGTCAATTTGTGTGTTATGTGTCTGATTGTTTGCCTGTGGTTGTTTGCGTCTTGTGTTTGTTTACGTGTGTGTGTGTGTGTGTGTGTGTGTCAGTGTGTATGTGTTTGTGTGTGTGTGTGCGCGCGCGCATGTGTGTATCGTGGCATTGTGTGTCCTCCACACCTACGTCTCTCTTCAGGTCAGTCCACACTCTGGAAGCCTTTCTGACTGAGCTTACCGCGAGCCTGATCTCACTCCGCGTACCCTGCAGTTATGAGCCATTGCTGGTATTCTGTGGCAGTTGCACCGAGGAGCGGCCTGACATGTTTGTGATATAAAGGTGGTGCGGCACGAAGTGTTGTGCCAGCTACTAATATTCCATAACGTTTGGAGACACTACCAAGCTCATGCCATCATTGTGCAATGTGTGAATAGCGGTCTACGTTCCGGATGTGAGCAGAAAATGGTTTTGGAGATACTCGTGTGTTCACCGTGTGTTCGTGCATGTGTGCCTAGTTATTATGTTCAGAAATGCGTGTTTTGTGTGTGTGTATGCGTGTGGGGGGGGGCATGTGTGTGTGCGTGTGGGGGAGGGGGGATGTGTGTGTGTGTGTGCGTGGGGCTTGTGTATGCGGGTCGTGTACAAAAATTACCTCGCTTACTTTTACTGGTACAAATTATTCTGAAATGATTTTATTGCCTCTTCCGTATAACTTTGGATAACTGGAGTGTTCACACGTATTGCTAAGAACTGTTTTCTACGTTTCGCTTAGTGCTTCACCACGGTTTCTTGCTTGCTCTGAAGTTGATGATTGCATCTTGATGCTAGGTGTGCTGCTGCTGTGCTGCCATAATAGTCTTTATAATAATAGTTGATCAATGATACTATCAAGTTCATCATAACCATGTGTTCGTTTGTTGTCTCCACAAAGATTATTGTAATAGTTGATCGGTTTGGTTTTGAGTTCTCGTGTCTTTTTTGACTCGCAAGTAATGCACATGAATTCCTATATTTATTGCTCGAACTCGATGACTTGTTGTTGCGTGTGTGTGGGGACGGGGAGCAAAAAGTGTGTGTTTGGGGTGGTGGTGTGTGTGTGTTGTTCATGTGTCATTGATGAAGAATGCATTTGATTTTTATGTGCAGGGGGAGGGATCAACGTGTTGTGTTTGGTTATGTGTGTGTTCGTGTGTTGTGGTCCGCCATATGGATTTCTGTATTTATTGCTCGAACCAGAAGACTGCACTGGTGTTTGCGTCTGTATGTGTGCGGGGGGGGGTAAGCAAAAGACGTTACGTGTCTGTTCAGGAGGTGTGCATTTGGGCCGGCAGGGTACGAGTCATACATGTATGTCTTTGCATATGTACGCGTGTACGAGGAAGTGTGTATGTACGCACGGAGGAGGGAGTTTCTCAACACTTTCATGCATGATTGCGCATGGCAGAGAAAAACAGTAGATACGACCGTGCAATAAGAAGCAGAACCTAACATGATTAGATGCAGCGAACACGGTTTGGAAAGTGTAAAAACAGTATCCGATGTACGTATTATCCTTATTATTTTAGGCCAGCTAGAATTAATTCGTTGTTTCGGGTCACTTCACTCATCCGTACCAGGGTCGGTCGGTCGGGTTTATTTTTTATTTTATTTTTTATTTTGGTTACGTCCATGTACATCGAATAGCTTTTGTCCATCTAGCCAGTCGATCAAATCTGACTGTTGTGCAGACCATAGACAATCCAGCGCAGTCATTGTCCCATCAGATCCAGGTCCCCTCCAGGACCAGATATTGGCCTCGCTGGCAAGCGAGTCTAACCGGCGAGCAGCTCTCACCTTGAAAACTTCTGTAAATAGCGACAAGGTGGCGGAGCTGATGCTGTTTCAGGACCGATTGCGGATCGGAGATAGAAGACAACGTCGTCACCAAGCGCTGCATCCTGTCATTTAGCCATGGCTGCTTCTGAGGTCGATTTCTGGACTGCTATTATTAGGGTCGCGTGTGTACATAGTCTAGTCTACATAATTATAGTCTGTACATTTGCATGCACTATAAAAAAAAACATTTTGGGGTCGGGTGAAAAAAGACGGTCGGTCGGGTGACCCGAAACAACGAATTAATTCTGGATGGCCTTATAATTATCGTTTATGGGTGGGTGGGTTAAGGAGAGCTTCATTGAAAAAGTATAGATAGCTGAAATATCAGTCTATTCTAGCCGGACGGCCCCTTATTATTTTGATCAGCGTGTACAATGGAGCTGGACAGTACATAATTAAAAGGGTGAAAGCCTGAACTGAACTGAACTGAACTGAATTGAAGTTTAATGGACTGTCACCACTAGGCTCCGTCGGATTATGCTAGCGAAATAATGAAAATTAATTATGCTTTAATGGAGGCTCGCATTATGCTCGCTCATAATTATGCTTTGGGAAGTGGGGATACTTCACTTTGTTGTACTTATGGAGGGAAAGTTGTGCGCTTTTCGTACTGGCAAGTGGCCATACATGTAAGTACAACAAAATACGTCAATTAGTTGGCTTGCAATTTCAAATATGGACTTCACGGAGAATTTCAAGTTTTTAGGAAATTGGAGGCCACATGCCACGTACTGCTCTTTTCTCTCCGAAACTCAACACTTGCAAGCCAGATATGAAAGAAAGAAAAAATCATCAGTCACACCACCGGGACTCGAACCAGGGACCTTGCTATTCGCGAGCAATGCTCTAACCAACTGAGCTACAGTATGACTCTTATCCACAGTGATGGTAAATCTATCCTTCTTCGATCAATCCATATCTGGCTTGCATCATACTGGCAACTCACACCAATCAAGAGGGCCCTCGGCCATTCGGTTGATATCATGGGGAGCGCATCAAACTATGTCCACTGCGAGCAAATACAAATTGCAATTTCAAATTTGGACTTCACGGAGAATTTCAAAGTTTTTAGGAAATTAGAGGCCACATGCCACGTACTGCTCTTTTCTCTCCGAAACTCAACTCTTGCAAGCCACACACTGTGGATAAGAGTCATACTGTAGCTCAGTTGGTTAGAGCATTGCTCGCGAATAGCAAGGTCTCTGGTTCGAGTCCCGGTGGTGTGACTGATGATTTTTTCTTTCTTTCATATCTGGCTTGCAGGAGTTGAGTTTCGGAGAGAAAAGAGCAGTACGTGGCATGTGGCCTCTAATTTCCTAAAAAATTAGTTGACTTCTTCTGTAAAATATTTTGAGTTACTTTTAAAAACTCATGATCATGTTTAATTGTCTTCTAAGTCATCATACTCGTCCAACATGTCAACCTCACCATACCGTTCACGCTAAATCCAACGGTACTCGTACCCAACACCCAAAATACCGTCGGTTTGGTACCGTTTCGACTATAGAATGCTCGGTTTAGCGGGAGAAAGAAACGGTAAGATTTCAAATAGGGTGACGCCACAAGTCGATCGTTGTGTCAGGAATCGAAATGCTAGCCATGTCTTGAAAACACACAAAACGGTTCAGGCCGACGTACGGTCGAAGTTAGCGTGAACGGTAAAATGCTAACCACGTGGGAGTTGTCGTTAAGATTATAGCCTGAACAGCCATGGTTGTTAAAATCCAAAGGGCATGACATCGCACATAATGTACGCAAAGTTATGTGGACTACCCGTCGGTATCTCGTCCGCCCTGAGATTACTGATAACGGCTGATTCACTCATAACTTCTGCTACAAGGTATTGTGTCAGCGTGAGAAAGAACTTTGAAGAAAACAAGCAAAAAGAGCATACAACAATGTATTGCAATGATTTCTTCCCTGCGTTTCACTGATAGCCCTTTCCCAAAGATGCCATAATTTTTCGCAACTTATGCTTTTCGCAACCGTGCCAAAACAAGTGCTAGTTGCTGAAATCGCATCCATATTTTCAGCAAAAGCTCAAAAGTTGCTAATATCGCAACCTAGAATTGGAGAGTTCTAGTGCAAAAAAAACTACACAAAAGGGAGTAGAAATAGCAGAACTTACGGTGCATCGACAGCAAACTCGTAGATCTACACCCCTTCCTGCGGTGAACCACCACTTTACACAGGGCCAGTAGCCTGTTGCATGTATCCTACATGTACATCATTCCAGTGCAAGGAAAAGGGGACTATTACTTCAGTGCACATTATCACAACTACCGTTGATCTACTGTTTCTCTGAAATCAGCCTGAAGGCAGGCGAGAAATGAGCGAGTACGAGTTTGCATTTGTCCGACATGTAGTCGGTGAGTCGGTGACTTGACCGTTTGACCCCATGCCATGGCGCCAATTGCGGAAATGTTGCGAAATAGTTCGCGAAAAAGAAAGTTGCGAAAGTTGCGAAGGTTGCGATTTCTTCCTAAACAACGAAAAGTTGCGAAAAAAGTGGCGAGCATCTTTGGGAAAGGGCTATTCACTGAACACACTGTCTGTATGACTTCTGACCCCTTTACCATACAGACCACCAGCAACAATCATGATCAAATTAGGCTCCATATTTTCGACCACCAAATTATGCCAATAACTGTTTAAAACTTCCGAACATGGATTGTCATCGCCGAATGTTGTTGTCGTGAGTTGAACAGAGATGATGCTTTATCGATCGTAACTCATGGCAGATCTAAAGTGCATCTCGCCGTTTCGGAAGCTTTGTACAATCGTAAACTGTCCCCCGAGCTGTGTGTTCATAAAAGATAATGTGCTGGCTTTGCAGCTATTTGGCACTAGTCCTCAGGAGTGTGTGAGTAATATCCCATGATGTGCTGTCCTACTTTTTTTCCTTTTTTCCTACCGAGTTAAATGTGCCGGTCACCTATTTTCACCTCTTTCTTTCTCACTTCGTAAAGTGCTATACTATTTAATCTTTTATGAACTCATTTTCTTTACATTTGCAGTCTTTGAATCGTTCCATCATTCCCTGTATGGCTCTGTTGAGAAGGGAACGCAAAGTTTCGGCCTTTTTTTAAACTGTTTGGATCGTCTTCGTGCTTGGTTCTGCTGTATCGGTGCATGCGTGAATTGATAAATTCCTTGTTTTTGCTGGAATTTCCCAACGATAGGGTTCGCTTCCTTTTTGCACCGTGCAGCATTTCAATATCTAGTTAAAAGATCAGAGTCAATCAGGTTGGAGGGACACACGACACACGACACACGACACACGACACACGACACACGACACACGACACACGACACACGACACACGTACACGACACACGACACACGACACACGACACACGATCGACACACGACACACGACACACGACACACGACACACGACACACGACACACGACACACGACACACGACACACGACACACGACACACGACACACGACACACGACACACGAATGCATTCTTATTGGGTAGCAGTGTAAACCAAACATACAGTCTATATACAATTCACGTGTAAGTCATAAAAAATAATTGTACCTCCCTCCATTTACACCCAGAGTCTTAGGCATATCCCTCCCTTAGTGGTGTATATATCTCCGTATACACCGCTAAGGGAAATTATTTACAACTTTGAATGCCGACAATGCGCTAGTCGGTATGTTGGTA